ATATAGCAAGATTACCATTCATCATTCTGTTACCATTCATCATATTATTCTTAGGTTTTACCATTCATTGTATTATTCTTTAGAACTCTATTTTTCAGCTTCTTGGTTGCTATAACTTAAGAGTCATCTTGCACATGCGTGACCTTGGTATCCTCTCAAAACCGTGGTAAACGGGTCCACAGTCTTTCCAACGTCAATAGCACAGCATAAAGGGTAATTAACGTGTTTCCGTTAAGTTGAGGACAAGCAATATCGTATGCCGCTTTGACTAAAGCGGGACCCACCCTAGAGAGTATTAGTGACGAATTATAGCATGTCGAAGTTTGAAAGTATCAAAAAATGATCCCTTTAAAAATGGTTTTCTCTTGAAATAATTTTTTTCGACATGACCGAGTATGTTGAAGAAAATGATTAAGAAAACTAACATTTTGGGAAGTAATCTATTTACCACCAGAGTTTAGCTCTATAACCAGAGTATAATACCATCAACTGACAGGATACAACTTACCTTGACTCTGAAGATGACCGCACAGGTTGTCGAAATTGACTAATGATTAGTCAATGTCAACAACAACAGTCCTATTCAGGACTACGTTTACAAGGACGATGAAACTCAACCTACTTTTGAAATGACTCCTGGATTCAAACCTTTCACATGATAATTAGTGGTATAAAAGAATACAGTCGAACCTCTCGGTACGGACACCTCTCAAATACGGACTCCTCTCTATCACGGACAGTCTCCAATGTCTCGACATTGAAATTCTCATATATTTGCTTTAAAAAAACCCCTCCATAATACCGACTCTCTCTAATAAGGACAACGGACACAAAATCTCATATAAGCTTAACCTCTTTATTACGGATACTACGGTGATCAGGTGCCGATCCCAAATCCCGGGGGGGGGGTACTTTAGGAATTTGTGGGTGGGGATGTGCCGCTGGGACCCTGGAACCCTTAACCTATACTAGAGCTAGTTCAGCTGAATTTTGCTACCCTATACTAGAGTAAACTCCCCAAATCCCCCCTATCCTAGAGTAGCTGTTTCCCTAATCTAGATAAAATCTGCACCCAACTGATCAGTTTGCTGAAAAATGATACCCTATTCTAGACCCAAACGCTCTGATTTATATACCCTATGCTAGAGTAAACTGCTTGAAAACCATGCATACCCTTCACAGTGGCACATACCTATATAGCCCATATGTGGCAGTGCCCCCCCGGGCCCAAATCCCGATCAGGTGAATCTACACAGTGTGAATCTCGTTTTTGACCCACTTTTACCATTCTTTGTATTATTCTTTAAAACAATTTTTGTCAGCTTTTTTAACTTAATCATCTTGTTCATGTGTGACCTTGGTACCCACTTAAAATCGTGCCGTAAAAAAAATAAAGGGTCGACAATCTTTCCAACATCATTAAAAGGAAATTAAATTGTTTTTTATCAGTTTGATTACAAGCAATATTGTACGCCGATTCGACTTAAGCAGGACCCAAAATTTTCGAAGAATTATAGCATGTCTCATTTTGCTAGTAATAAAAGTTCATGTCTTTAAAAAAAGTGTTTTTTTGAAAGAAAATCTCTTTTTTGACATGATAGAGTAGGTCTAAGACAATAATTAAGAATAAATAATTAAGCAAACTAACGTTTTGGAAACCTGTTCACCACCGGAGTTTAGCTTTCTAAAAAGCCTTAACAGAACTGACTATTGATTAAATCGGTGGTAACAAAATTCAAAACACCCTTCTTACAAGAAGGGTAGCTTTGGAGAAGAGTACGACCGGCCGAAGATGATAACTAGTAGTAAAAAATATTATATAAGATTCCAACACCCTTTCATTTTTCTTGTGTGCCAGTCATTACTTGGCTGTGTAGCCGCGTGATGCGGTTCCAATTGGCCCTTGCTCACCACAGCGTCTCCAGTAGCTCAAGTGGTTAAAGCATCCGACTAGATCACGGAGGGTCGTGGGTTCAAATCCCATCTGGGTCTCGCATTTTTTTCCGAGTCCTCCTCATAATTAATATCATGTTCTTTCATTTTTCATTTTTTGATTAACTTTTACAAATATTTGCGTGAACCTTTTTATCACATAAAAAGAGAAGGTAAGACGTCCTTTTTTGGCTTCATAAGCCATTGGAAAAGTTGTTTTGGTTAGTTTGCCAACGGCAAGAAAATCTACATCCACTCAAGTTTGCACCCAAAATCAGATATTCATTATTTGAAAAAGGTTCTTTTGAAGGAAAGACTCCATCCATGACATCTACTAAGTTAAACGGGCATTTCACTTCATTCCACTGCCTAAGTAAGTGACAGCGCTATTTTGTTTTTATTCCGTCATTGAGATCCGAGCCAACGGACGTTAAGAAGGCGGCGACGTGAGTAGAAGGAGCTAGTCTTTCTAACATCAGTGCCTTTCTTGCGAGAGAGTGCAGATAAAACCGTACAGAGATGGAGAAGACGGCTTAGTATACGTTTTGGTTACCTTTGTCTTTGGCCGAAACTCGAGACAGCTGACTAAAACTGAGGAAAAGCGTAACAATTAAAATTAGCCCAGGTAATACTGAAAGCATCAACAGTTGTGGCACCAGGTTCTCGATGCCATGAAACAAAACTATCAGACTTGGCGTTAAGCCTTAATGCAATAAAAAGTAGATTACATAAATGAAGGTCACGCCTGCTTTAGGTCATTAACTTTTGAGACCACTCCAAGTAAGATGGAGCAAGTAAGGTCTACGGGCAATGGTCTCAATTATCCATAAACCCGTCACAAAACTACTTTCTGATAAAAACAATGGGACCGAGAGGTAATTCTAAAGGATAACTCAAGATTAGTAACGCGAGAATGGTTTTAGCCATTGCTGCACCATGGTGTTTCGGTGACAGATTTGCGCGTTAACTACACCACGGATACGAAATACTGCAAGGCCGCCCCTCAGAAACTAAGGGCGCTTTAGATTTGTCAGAACTGACCGGCCAGACCATTCCCGTAGTAATGAGAATTTTACTTCTAATCAAAACTATCCAACCAGATCAGTCAAATCCTAAATACTATGTACGAAGGAGATGGTTTTTCAGCAACAACTGTTGGGAAAAGCCTGTTTCATTGTCAAAATGCTGCTCCAGCCATGGTCTGGACGGCCAGTTCTGATTTTTGGAAAGCGCCCTAAAAGAACAGCCCATATCGTTTTTTTCGTGTAATGCGTGATAAAATAGTTTCTGAGTCCTAGAGAGTCGAGTATACACTATATTAAGACGTGGTAATCTACAGTGATATTAATTGCCCTCTATTACAATTTTCCCCATGGTAAAGTACCCTTTTTTTAACCGCTTTCTTAAGTGCATCAGTGATTAGCCTGTTCTAGTCCTTTTTACTTTTCACCGCTCCCCACTATCTGAACGCCTGCCTAACAGGCTACAATCTTGGACAAAATTGATGGAAAATTTGTACCCCCCCTCCGTCCCCCCCCCCCGGAAGGGAAGATGGCGCGTTTTGGCTTTTGCGCGGCTTCATCCTTGATTTGGGGGGGATGGGGGTTTGCTGTTCCATTTTATTCTGTCCAAGATTGTAGTTCCTGATCCCCATAAAAAGATCCTTCACGAAGGAAAAGCGAGAGGGTTGGGAGACTTCTCGACAGTTATCAAACCTTCGATACAGGAAATAAGTTCACGCAAAACTCTTTGTTATGGCACTGATTAAAAGAGAATTTCTCAACAGTTGCGAAGTCTTCTAAACGAAGTCTTTCACGGGGTACTACTTTCAAATTCTTAAAACAAGTACTAGCTTCCCCCCAGCGTAATCAGTTCTTGTTTTGTAAAAAAGATGCTTTCCAAAATATTGATTTTTCTCGATAGGCGACAAAAAAAAAAAAAATTGACACAGCATGTTTGTAGAGATTATCCAAGTTTCGGCCGACGAGGGAAAGGGTATTTTCAACTTACCTTGTGTAATCAGCCAGAAGTGTCCTCAAGAGACTGGCCTGTTCCAATAAGGCGGAAAAGAGGGAAACAGAGAGAGGAGGGAACGGAACCTACCCCACCCCTTGTTTCTTTTTTCTGCTAGCATCTCTGCGCGCTGTCCCCACAATAGATCTGAACGCCTGGAACAGGCCAACGAAGAGGGCCTGGTTGCATAAAATGTTCGTAACAACTACGGGTATTCGTACGTGCAGTCGTAACTTAAGTCAGTTGCATGAAATCACTTAAGTGGTCCACTTAGGGAATTCACTTAAGTGGTTGCACTTACTATTTTCTTAAATGTTCACGTAAGTGTCGTTTATGCAACAGAAATTGCGGGTGTTGCATAAAACGTTTTTTACGGGAAAAATAGCACGTAAATTTACGGGACCTCTGTAGGTCACGTATTACTATTATTACTAAAGTTAACGAGATCTTTTACTGAGAAGTGAAAAAAAGTATTTTTCTTCACGTAATTCGTTCTAATGCGCTTTGTTAACTTCTGCCGTGTACACTTAAAGGCCGACTTTGTGAAAAAAGAAGAAGAACTGTCATTTTCAGAAGATATTGAAGAAAAATAACGTTTGCATGCAAATTTCATTTTTTGAGAGGCTTAAAAGTGTTCGAAACGACTTAAAACTTTCTTTACACTCACCGATGGTTAGCTTAAAAAAAAAAAGAGTGCGTCATTAATAAAGTACGATATCAAAGTTACGTGTGCCTTTCTTTAAGCGAGCCCGTAAGATTACCACGTAAAACAGTAACTTACGAGAGTGCTAAGTGCGTTCCATGCAACACCCGTAAGTGTACCCATAACGGATTCGTAAGTGACTCAAGTGCAGGTTTTATGCAACCGGGCCCAGGCTATCAAGAGACCATCAAGAGACTGTCCATGGCGCGTGGAGGCCTGGAGTGAGTGATCCATTCACTTCCTTGTCGGTACATCTACGAAGCTTCGCATCAAGTCTACATACCGTTTGATCTGATTTTCCAAGGCACCTCCAAAGCCCAAGGAGTATCCAGGAGTTGTAGATGATTCTGCAATGTCAGATCAAAATTCAAGTCCGAATGGGCGCCGAAGAGAAAGTGTTAACTCAACAAGCTCAGACAATTTGCGTTATCCGTTTAATCACGGCTCCTCTCATCAAAACGATGCCAATTTCAAACTTAGCGGGAAGGCTTGGGGTCGCGTAAAGAAGTTCCTTCTTTGCAAAAATGCTTTCCCTTCAAGTATTTACTACATCGTGGGGAACGAATTCTGCGAACGATTTTCGTACTATGGGATGAAAGCAATCTTAATCCTGTATCTGACTCGTGTGCTTGCTTTTGGAGACAACACCGCCACTGCCGTTTTCCATAGCTTCTCAATGTTATGTTATTTTACTCCCCTTTTTGGGGCAATGATGGCCGATGGCTGGCTTGGAAAATACAGGTGAGCTACAACAAGCACTCCAAAGGTTCCATTTCCATTATAAGCTTAATTTATTCTTTGTTATTTTGTGCAGCCAGCCTACCCATCTTGTGCATAATCTTTTACTCAAAATCAATAGCGCTGCGCGCAGTTACCATTGACCACTCCAGAAAATACCAAAAAAATACCACATACCATAATGCTTTTTGTTTGTCACCCCAACTATTGCATAAGCATTGTTTTCAGTTTCTCTTGGGGCCATTTTAACTCTTAAGAGAAACTGAAGACAAAGCTTATGCAACATTTTGGGGTGACAAACAAAGAGCATTATGGTATGTTACGGTATTTCTGGAGTGGTCAATTAATAGGCCCGAAAGTCAGCCAAACAAACTGAAATTAACATTTTCGAATTCCTCACTTTTGTCTGACTTTTGTTTTTAAATTGTCATGTTTGTCTAGTGTCTTTGGCATTAAAATGAGGAAAATGACAAAACGCAGACAAAAATTGCAAATTAGTCACTTTGACTTCATGCGCACGCTACGCTTTTCAAAGAATAAATGGAAACGTTTGAAACCCCAAAGAAGCCAGTACGCAAGCCAGCAAGTTGTATCATTATGATTTATTATTATTTTTTTTTGTAACTGTACCATATATTTTACTGTTCCTTCAGAATTCTTTAAAACTATTAAAACTGTAAATTGTTATGGAACATTGACCTCTGGTCCATGGACCACCCCTGTGGACCTAGTGCATGGACTTCTTCGTGGACCCGGTTCATGGTAGCCTCCCACGCAGACATTCTTAGGGGTTCGTCACGTGTTCCTGCCCCAAAAACGTCTGCTGACTTGAGCGGAAAAAAACGTAGACCAATCACAGCAGACTTCCAGATCTGGGAAGTGCACTTTGAACCTTGAGAAATTTCGTGCTTAACTTTATGGCTCCAGAAAAGATCAGAAAGGTCGCATGAAAGTTGAAAACCTTACAGTTTTAGAACAAACTACTCAGTTAACTCACAAGCGTTCGTACCAGTGGCTACCCTCAGAATCTCGTTGAAAAAAATTACCTCGGAGGTTAAATTTGCTGAACGGAGGTCGGGCTTTCCTACAAAACAATAACATGTGAAAAAAAATCTGCCTTTTGTTCAGTCTTACAAGGTAACACCGCTGCTGCATCACCCAAAGAACAACTTTATGAGCAAATGACATCTAATCCAGCCTTTACAGAGAGAAATATACAAAAAGCCAATGCTTATCTCCTATTATTCTCGTCAGGAGCAAAAATCTTTGGTCATGTATTACACTCTACAGAGCTTGTACGTATGTGTTTGGCTTGTCAACACTTTGACTTCAATGGCACCGATTGGATCTCCGATAATCTGCATGTGATCTCCAGCCGATATTTGCAAACAATGGGAAATGAATTTATCTTTCAGTTCAGCAGACGTTCGTGGGGCAGGAACGCATGACAAACCCCTAAGAACGTCTGCGTAGGAGGCTAGGTCCACATGGACTACCTCTGTGGACCACCCTTGAATTTTGAAGATGAATTTTACTAGAGGTCTAATCAATTTTAAGAATCTTAAATGTAAGAGTCTGTGTAATAGGCCATTTCCGAGTTCCAAAAAATCTCACTTTCAAAGCGAGGCTAAGTGCGAAGCCATTGATATGAAAATGATTTTTAATTATGATGCAAATAAAACTCATTTTCACGACAAAGGTTTCGCACTTAGCCTTGTTTTGAAAGTGAGATTTTTTGGAACTTGGAAACGGCCCTGATTTTTATCAGGGTTATGGGCTCCTCATTTTACACACTGTCTTGTTCAAAGTTTTCCTGAATTCCACACCAATTTAAAGGGTTTGGGTTAGTTTGGTGAAGGAGTAACAATATTTGAAGGGAACAGCTAGGGAGAAAGGTTTAAAGGAGGTAGTAGTCACTGTGTGACAACAAGAGCCATAGGCATTATGGCTTTTGGTGACAACAAAAAAACGGCTGCAAATGTAGGAGACTAGGGAGGAAGAAGTAACACATGATTATTGAGTACCCTCCCCAAACTTCCCTTTCCTTGATAGCCGGTCAGGAACTTATTAAATCTTCCTTACGGAACAAGCGCAAAATGACCTGCATTTAATTTTCAAATAATGTGGTTGGACAGACATCTGAGAAGCTTTGTGAACATAACAGTTTTATGCAGGTCAATTTGTGCTTGATCCGTAAGCAGGAGTGAATAAGTTTGCCGATAAAGAAATGTTTCCATCGGCCATCAGGGAAGTCTGGGGTGGGACGACACAAAAAAATGTCTATGTAGGAGACTATTTCCCCAGTGCCTCAAATTACTCCAGTTACTCCTTCATGTGCACCAGACTAAACCTAATCCATGTACGGAATTCAAGAAAATTTGAACGGGTGTGTAATTGAGAAGCTCAATAAGCCTGATAATATAAACTGAGAGCAGTTTACTAGAATTTATTTAGACCTCTGGTAAAAGTCATCTTCAAAAATTAAGTGTGGTCCACATGCAGGGGTAATCCACGGACCGGGTCCATAAAGAGGGCCATGGCTGGGTCCATGGACATGGCCATTTTGTATGCATCCCCCCACCGGCCCACCCCCTCACTCCACTCTCACTGGAAAGCATACCTGGTAGGTGGTACAGTAGAACGTCGATAATACGAAACTCGGATAACTCGAATTCCCCGCTAACTGGAACTAAATTTTCTTTCCCTAGATCAAAATTTCACTGAAATTTAGCCCGATAACTTAAATTCCCCCTAACTCAAAACTGTTTTTCGTCTCCCTTCAAAGTTTGACTTACGTGGGTTATACTGTAGTATTCTGAGTGCAAAGGAGGATGGCTATATATTTCTGCATGAGGAGGCGGGGAGGGTAGTGTTTCATTACTAATTAGAGCTTTTTTCCTTAGGGGGTAAAAGTTCCCTCATCTCTTGGGTAAAAGAAGCGAGTGGCTATTAAATGGAATGACCAAGAGATACTTTTTATCCATCAAACCATCATTACAATGTCAATCCTAGCTCACCTTGCATTCAATTTCATATTAAACCCTTGACTCAAGGATATAACACTGGGCGGCTTGTCTAGACTATAGTATTTAGAACGTTTGGTACAGTTTGAACTAAATTCAGCAAAACCCTTATAATTTGCTCACTTTAATAAGATTATCAATTGTGTATCTTTTTCAGAACAATCTTGTACGTTTCTATGGTTTATTGCTTTGGAAATCTGATAGTGTCCATCACATCACTCCCTCCACTTGGTGCTGGTGAGATTCCAGGCCCAATGATTGGTTTATTCCTGATTGCATTAGGAACTGGTGGAATCAAACCATGTGTGTCAGCTTTTGGAGGGGATCAGTTTACTTCTGATCAGACTCATCTGCTCCAGAGCTTTTTTTCAGTGTTCTATTTCGCTATAAATGCTGGCAGTTTATTGTCTATGCTTATTACACCCGTGCTCAGAGGTAATGTAAAACTGTATAATAACGTTGTCACATTGTATCTTGTGATTTTAAAAGAACAGTTTTTGACTTTTTATATGATGTCTGGTGTTGCCATCATGTATCCACCCATCAGAGCAAGGGTGTGTGTTACCATGGATTCATGTCTTGCTACATTTATCAGGGTCTCGACAAGAAGTTATGAAATGATGAATAGTGTAGGTTCTTGAATACATATTAAACACTCAATCATCTGAATGTCCTAGTTTGGGGTAGATTTATGGAAAAAAAATTAAAATAACTAAATGCAAGTCAGCACACTAAAACCCTGTATATTAAAGCACCATGGGGACAAGAAAGCGACATGTATGTTTGTGAGAGCTTTGGTGTTCTGATCAATAAATTTTACCATGGATGATTTTACATAACTGAAGTAGAGAATGTCATTTGTTTTAACCTGCTCGGGTATCCTTACTTAGTAAGGTTTTACATGGATTTCCCGTTCAACTTTTTTCTTACACTTTTCTTGTTTTCAGGAGATGTGAAGTGTTTTAAAGATGACTGTTATCCACTGGCTTTTGGTGTTCCTGCAATATTAATGATAATAGCTATTGCATTCTTTTGGTGTGGCCGACATAAGTACAAGAGCGTCCCACTAACTGGTAACATTGTATGGACAGTGGTAAAAGCTATGAGCTATGCTCTCAAAAGAAGAATTACAACCAAGGTAATAAAACCTGCTCGCATTCATGTGTCAGGTATATTTCATTGAATGTCAAACTAAATACAGTTGAACCTGATCTCTACGTTACAGCCAGTCCTTGGGGACAGAGGAAAGTGTCCGTTGTAAAGAGGCGGCCTTTGTAGAGAGGTTTTAAACAAGAGTCAATGTATGGATTTTTTGTCTGCCGGGAGGAAAAAAAGTGGCGTTTGTGGCGAGGTGGCCTTTAGCAGACTCTTAGCAGAGGTTCACCTGTACATCTATGCATGTTCTCTCATGCAATTAGAATGGAATGAAGCCTCAAGTAACTTCTTTCAACCTGCCAATTGGGCCTCCTTCAATTTCCCCTGGTATATAAATTATTTGATTGTGAGAGAATTTGCCATTTTACGAGGAGTTTCTCAGGGCCCTCTTTCATGCACCCCATCTCAGTTGCACCAACCACTGGATTATTGAGTTTTATGCATATTTTTACCCTGTGTATTTTGCGATCCAACTTTTGATCAACTGGAGCCTTAATTCCCCAGCTGAGTGAGACCAAAATCTTCAATTCCCACCTCATTATTTCTTGGAGTCTGCCCAGTGGTTTTCTCCGAGCTTTTTTTAAAAAGGACAAATTTTTGCATTTCAATATTTAGGGTGCAAAAATCTGGGTCTAAAGGGGTGCTTACCATAAGACCAAAACTTCCAAAAATTTCAGATGGAAGTTACGGTAAAAGTCATTTTTTTCGGAATCGCCCTCATAAAATAAAGAATCAGATTTTAAGGTAGCCCCTTCACTGAAATTTGTATGAACTTCATGGAATGACTCATGCCTTTTTTTCTCTTGGTTCCAGTCTCCTTGCTTCTATTATAATCATTTTTTAGATTCAAAGTGTAATGGAAATGGTATTTCTGTGGTGACCTGGGATTAATTGCTTAACAATATGCTACTAGGCAATTCAAATGGCAAATTAAGCTTCGATCCCTGGTCTTATTATTAATAGTATGTATATATAGCATTCTTCTCATTGGTAAATTATATGTGTTGCTAGGGAGAGAAAAAAGATCATTGGATGGACTGGGCTGATGATACATATGACGCACAGTTGATTCAAGACATCAAAGCTCTGTGTAAAGTGTTATTCATGTTTCTTCCTCTGCCTGTCTTTTGGACGCTGTTTGATCAGCAGGGTTCTCGCTGGGTTTTGCAGGCACAACAAATGGATGGTGATGCTGGTAGGAGACTTTTGATGCTTATGATTTTATCAGGAGGAAGATAACAATATTTTTAAATTTCTTAAAGTCTAGACTGCAAGCAGTCTATCATTTTCCTCAAATTTAGTGAAGGAGGGGAGTACATGCGCACTCAAGGGTGGGACTATAGAAATTAGAGGGATTGCTTGTTGTCTACTTGAAGTCATTGCAACAACGTATAGATATGAGTTCTGTTTTGAAACTATTCTGGTTATTTGAATTCCATTGTTATAGGAGAAACCAAAGGTACAAAGTAAAGTTTTGAATACGCCTGCGTGAAGCAAGGATACACAGTATGACACTCGATCAGAATAGTTTGGTGAATGAAGCCTACGTGCACTTGAAATGACCCTAGTATTTCGTCCCTTGCTTTGTGCAGGAAACAAAGAAAGGAGAAGAAGTCTGTATGCAGGCTCTATGATCAACATTACCATAGAACCAGATGAATACAAAAATGACAATCATGGTAGAGAATTAGAAGTCGTAATCACCAGGAAACAAATCAGTTTTTTCTAGAATAGGTTTCAAACTCAGGTCGTACATGTAGAACGAGGGAATAGGGAGTTTAAGGTGCCACGACGGTGATGGCAACGAGAACGTCAAAAAGCCATAGGTTTAGATTGGCAAAAAACAACTCAGCACGTGCAGCACACTTTTTGGTACATTTCTTTGCCGTCACTGCACGACTACGACGAAAGTTTCTTACTCTTTCTGAACTTGAATATGTATCTTAAGAATTTAACCCCAGCAGGGGAATTCGTTTGCATTTGACAAAGTTGACAGCGAGTCGGAATGATCGTGACAGAGATAGAAAAAAATGCGAATTCACTTTTTGTAATGTATTGTAATTGTTTGTGTGTCCGAAATAAGAAAAAAAAAAGAAAAAAGAAACCACAGCGGCGACGGCGACGGCAACAGCGACGGTGACGGTGATGTCACACAAAAATGTATGGCTCCCATTCCACCTCGTTCAATTCATCAAATGTTGGCGAATTCAGTTTCGGCAGTTGAATTCTAAAGTTGAATTCTAAGTTTAGAAGAAGGTAGTTACAAATTTTTGCAATAAGCATGAAAAAAGATCGCACACAAAACGATGGCCAAATACCTATGTGATTGCTTGCTCGAAAGGGAAATGCTTTTATAACTAAAGGTGCGACAAAGATTCATGTCACTTAATATATCTGACGGCCGTATCTCAGTAACAGTCAAACCCCGCTTTACAGACACCCACTTAATACAGACACCTCATTATTACGGACAGTTTTCGTTGTCGCTGAGGAACGAAAGACCTTAGATTTGCTCTAAATTCAACCCGCTAAATACGGACACCCCGTTAATTATTAATACAGACACTTTCTATGGCCACTTTAGTGTCCGCATTAACGGTTCATGTTTGACTGTATCTAGAACTAAACAGAGAATTGTGAAGGGATAAGAAAAAACTTTTTTCCGTTCTCATTACCGTCGCTGTCGTCGTTGCTATGCAGTCCCAACTGTTGATTTGCGACTATGCTTCCTCCTGGTTCTTAGCCTGCGAATTCGGGGAAAAGAGTTGCCATTCAGCGAGGAAAAGCGATTTTTTTCTCGATAGGTAACGGCTCTGCCGCCAAAATGTTCTCCGAATTCGCACAAGTGAGCTTGCTCGCAGGCTACCTGGTTGTCTACTAAGTATCAAAGAATGGAACCTCATTTCACGACCTTTTATTTCTATATTCACCCTTCATCAACTATGGATGAAGATGATGGTGATTAAGGTTAACGTTCTGATAATAAAACATTTTCTTATTCATACTGTTACAGGCTTTCTGGGAACAATTAAACCTGACCAAATGCAAGCACTAAACGCTCTTTTTATCATTCTTCTCATTCCGCTGTTTGAGGGTGTGGTGTATCCCCTGTTCAAGAGACCAAGACCACTCAAGAGGATGTGTACTGGGATGTTCCTTGCTAGTGTGGCATTTGTAATTGCAGGCTTTGTGCAGATGAAAATACAGGTATATTATTAAAGTTAAGAACAGTTTTTGCTTGAGTGATGTAAAACTAACTTTGGCCAATCACAAGAGGGCTCAGAAAAGAAATTAAACGAATCAGCACGCTTGCGGGGTACGTGTAACCGAAGCGCGGGAAATGCAGGGAGTTTTTAAAAGATACCATTGGATTGGATGTGACGTCACCTGTCAAGCTTGTCGGTAACAACATATGCATCACGCTTTTTTGTACATTTCGTATCTCTCTCTCTGAACTTAGATATGGTTGTTAGGAATTCGGCTCCAGACGAGTTCTTTGTATTTGGCAAATTGAAAGAATCTAGATAGAGATTGAAAGAACGCGAGTTTTTTTCTTTAAGCGACGTTTTCGTGGCCGTCGCCGTCGTTGTTAGCCTGAATTTCAGACGATTACTTCGATTCGTTTTTACTCCCTCATTAAACGACTCGAAGTAATCGTCTGAAATTCAAATTCAGACCTTGTGGTATCTTTAACTCCCTTGCAAACCAGTCACTACCGCGTGGTGTTACTTTCACATGTTGCTTATGTACGTTATCACTTTTAATGAAGGTTATTTTTATATTAATTATTTAATATTAGATTAAACACTTATTCTCTAACAGAATTGTTTCGTTTAACATAAAAATGAAAATGGTGTTTTAAACTTTACTGATATTATGATATTGTTAATCTATGCAGAGTGCAGATCTTGTTAAAGATGCGCCACCATCTGGACAAGCCATTCTACAAGTAATCAACACTTTACAATGTCCTGTGACACTAAATTTGGAAAACAAGAACATAACTGTTGCTTCTCACAGGAAATCCTCTGAGCAGCATTTATCTGTTCACAAGAATTTAACTCTCATAATAACATCACCTACAAACTGTAATCATCTATCAAACGCATCGCTTTCATACAGTCTTGAAAAAGAGTGGTACAATTTTGTAGTTGGTGTTGTTGGAACTAACAATAAACTTGTTGGAAAATTGGTTAAACAGAATATCACTCTTCCTCCGCCTGGTAAGGCAAAATTGTGTATATTTCTGCTTCTATTATCCTCGGTCGACAAAACATTTGATATTTGGCTTGACAAGGACCGAATTCAAGAGAAAGTCTCGGCTATGGGGAACTCATTTTGTAGCGTAGTCTCTGCCGATCATTATAAACTAACAGTAAAAGGAAGAAATTCTGGTAAAATGTATGTATCCAGTCAAGTTGTTCTAAAGAATGGTGCAATTTACACTGCTGTGGTACAAGAAAACAGGAAAGCGAAAACACCCACTGCTGATGTTACCCTGTATGAAGATGTGGAAGCTAAAAGTGTATCAATGTTTTATCAGATTCCACAATATTTTGTCATTACAAGTGGAGAAATTCTTTTCTCAATTACTGGTGAGTAAGAAGTGTCGAGAAGTGCATGTCAAAATTTTGAGCCAACAACTCCTACCATTTCTTTTATTCCGTGATCGCAACCTCTTTCCCAGGATTTTCTCCTACCCGTCCCTACGGGTAGGAGAGAGAACCTGGGAACGAGGTTGCCGTGATCTTCGAAACGTAGCACAGCAATAGGGCCATTTATACGAGGACAAATAAGACGCGAACTGTACTATTTATACGAGCATGTCTTATCTAATAAGACGCGTCTTAGCTAAGCCGCGTCTTATTTTAGACGAAATGTATCGTTTATACGGAAAGTTCGCGTCTTATTTAAGACGCGCCTTATGTAAGACGCGTCATAAGACGCGTCTTATTTTTCCTCGTATAAATGGCCCTAATGTTGCATCCTTTTGTACAGCTCGTCCAACATTTTTGGGGTGGTTTGCAAAGTCTTATGGGTTGTATCCTTTCTACGATGCACTGCAGGTCCCAACATTGTTGGGAGATGTTGCATTCGTTTGCACACCACTTCCAACACGGACGCAACTACTCCAAACGTTGGGTGTTGATGCGTCCGTTTGTACGTAGCTTAAGAGAATAAAACAAAAGTAATGAAATATTTTCCTGGAGCCTCAAGGTGTTTTCTTTTAATGTGATCCGCTAAGCTTTGGAGCCACCTATGAATTTTTGAAATATCCGCAAAATGGGCCTATGGTAACGCTACACAAACGCGTACTTTTCACGTGTGCGAAGACTCATGTCGCACGTGTGATTTAGAGTAGGCTTGACGTTCGATCGTTTAATAATCTTGTTCCCAGATCTCTTGTTTACGAAGCCGAAGGCGAGATCTCGTCTTCGGCTTTTTCTACAAGAGGTCTGGGTGCGAGGTTAATCGTTTAAATAAGAAGGGTAAACTAATTTATTTTTCTGCCGAATTTCAATCTGTATCTAAAACTTTTGAGTGGGAAAAGACCTAACCCTACTAAATTTCTTACTTCAATCTTCAGGTTTAGAGTTTGCCTACTCCCAAGCTCCTGTAAGCATGAAGTCCTGTCTTCAAGCTGCGTGGCTTATGACCGTTGCATTCGGCAATCTGATTGTCGTTATTGTAGCTGAGTCTCACCTCTTCAGTAATCAGACGACGGAATTTTTCTTTTTTGCCGCCATGCTGTTTGTCGTGATGCTGGTGTTTATGGCGATGTCTGTATTTTATCGATATGTGGACTCACCTGCCGGCCAATCAACTGTGCCTGTCCCTGTTGATATAAATGATGACACAGTAGGGATAACAGACATGGATGAACTAGCGCAAATCTAAATAAGCACGATCGCGTAGATAGAATCTTTTCTGAAGCAATCAGAATTGTAATTTTGCGATCGAAATTTCGAGTATTTGAATTTAATCTCAAACCAGTTTGCGTTCGGCGAACTAGTTTGAGATCAATACCATTTCGCTCACAGAGGCAATCTCAGAATCCACATTCTGCAATTTGGATTTTAGGTTCCATTTGGAAACGGTAATGTCTATTTCAGATTGGTATATATTATACTACTTCCAGTTCAGTATTTATAATTTGGCGAACTAGTTTTTGGTGAAATGCTCTTCGTTTATACAGGTAGTCTCGCTGTGACAAGTGGAACGGAACGTTTTTTTCCTTCCCTTTGTTTGGAAATTCAAACTATCTGGAGCACCTTATTTAGATTGTATGAAAGGAAACTAGCCCAAAAGCCAAGCGATTGAAACTTTTTGCGCCAGGTATGTAAACAGAGTTTAGCCCGTGTTTAACACACTGTAAAATGGAAAGAGCTAAATCGGCTCCAAAAGCCAAATCGGCCCCAATGTCTTGAGGGCCAATTTGGCTCATGTTGGGGCGTTTTGGATAAGAAGAGCCAAATCAGTTTGAGATGGTACCGATTCGGCCCACCTTATTTCTGAATTGGCCACACTAAATACCAGTTAGTCCCTTCCTCTCAATTTGGTCCCTCTAAGGTCCAAAAAAGGACCGATTTCAAAATGCAGAGAGCAGAAACACAGATGCCGATTTGGCCCCAAGAGGGGCTAATACACTCTATTATTAGTTAGACTTAAAAATAATTCCTGTCTTGGTAGGAAAATGATATACAAATTATACAGTTTGGACAGAAAGAGTCAAACAGTGCAAAACTGCGTTCTAAGCCATTTTCAGTTTGCCCAACGCTTTTATCTAAACACCATCACGGTTAAAAATTTCAATAAAGCAAACAGCGCAGACTAGAAAGGCACTTATTTCCTTAAATTAACCCACCAGGAAAGAGATCTGGGGGTCCAATGATTTTTTAAACCGTGGCCCATTTTAGACTTCGTTTAAATTACCGACCCTTTATGTTCAAGATTGAAAGTTTAAGAGGCTGTCCGCGTAAGAACCGATAAGGCAAATTTCGGTCTATCACGGATTGCCCTGATTTTTTCAGTGGAAGATAACTATCCTATCCCATGAAGAAATATCACATTTATTTGGACCAACTCAATTTTTTCTCTATTTTACAGGAAGATTTTCTCGGTCACCTAAAACAAGTCAGTTTGCCGTCGGAAGTAGTGCGATTTTGGTGAAACGTTAGGGCTCTGTCAAACCTACCTTACCTAGCCGAATAATCTGATTATTTTACACACAAAAGTTTTAACTCTCATTAATAGTTTCAAGGTTTAATGGTTGCATTCTGTGGAAAGTTGGCTGAGATATGATTTTTTGAAAATGACCGTTAATTTGCTCAGCAGGAAAAGTAATTTGCATAACTAGAGCTGAACGGTAATTTCGCAAAAGTGGCACCTGACCCAGACTCAAGTCTATGATAAATCAGAAGTACTAAGACCAGTCTACTTCTTAACGCAATAAAATTTGTGGGCACTCTTCTTTGCGTGCCTTGCAAAGTTCCGTTAATGTTCCAAAATTCGCCATTTTGACAGCAAAGCTGGAATTGTAACGGGGTCCGCATCTGATCGACTAATTTCCACAGCTTTAACGTTTCCAGTTATCACTAAATATCACTAGACCCTTTAAATGTTGGACGTTTGAAAACATGTGGAGAAAACTTAGTAATCGCTTTTTCTTGCGTCTTTTTCTTGTCGACGATGAACGTGACTTCGTTCTCGGTATGCAAATTAGCCTTAGATGCGTTGTTTCAACAAATTGACAGGAAATATAATCGTTACATTCACATTTCTAAGGGGAAAAATAATTCTCCTTTCCACAGAAAAACACAAACCATGACTTCGAATCTCCTTAAGGTCTTTTTTTTTTTTTTTTTAACGAGGAAGAAGCAGCTGAATAATATATCATGATAGATGTTTGCGGCTTAAAATAAAAATAATTCAATTACTGTGGCCTGTCACGCATTCCTAAAGAGGGGTGGTCGATTAGAAAACAATAGCGTTGTGTCCAGCAATTCGATAATATTATCATCTTTTTTTTAAAATGATAGTTATTGATAATAATAAAAGATAAGAGTTCACTTGCAAGGTAATTCCTCCTGTCAGCACACGAAAATATTTGGGCACTCTTTTTTGCCTGCCTTTATAAAAAATAGCGTTAACGTCGAAAGCTTTATTATGATATTTGCTTATCGGGAGAAGGCAGATCTTTGTACATGGCACTACGATAAAAAAAAATGCCCCACATTTTTTCTATCTTAAATTAGCGGTAAATTTCAGTTTCATTCAAAGCGTTTATCGGTAGCACAATGAAACGGGAAAAATAGTTCCTTTTTTCAGTGAATAAACGCAAAAGGGAGTATCTTTTTAGTTTTTGTTAGGGTATAACATCCGAATTCCAACGACGATCTTGTTTTGGTTTCAATCTGATTGAATTACATAATGCAACAGGCGCCAGTTTCAAATTAAATATAATTATGTCACTGAAATCGCCGAAGAGATCAATTGTGAAAAATGGCTTTTTCGGCTATTTCATCATGCAGTTCTTCCGCGAGATCGTAGACAGAGTGAGGTCCCAGAAGGGGTGTGGAGGAAAATGTGTTGGTCACAGAGTGCATGGATGATATTACCTCGCACTTAGCCAGCTGTCACTTGTCCAAGTGTAGAAAGTGTAGCAAAGACAATGAAAATGAACTCATTTTAGCGAGAGTACGTATTCGAGGCTTGGTGGGTATTCGGAACTGAAATGACAATCTGCCCAAGGCACAGACACTAAATAGCTTGTGTACAGACCCCCTCCTCTCAGGAAAAATCGGAGAAGTTGCCCCTTCTCCCAAGAGGGGGAGGGTAGTGTGTACACAGGCTAACACTAAAATGACAATCTGCTTTAGGCACAGGTTTTGGCGAGCGCCAAGGTCTTGTTAGGCTCGAATGTAAGCCGCTGTTCTGGAAAACGAGCCCCCAACGGACGGGGAGAGGGCGGAAATCGAGCCTAAGGTCTTGTCAATACCCCGGTCACACTCTGGATCATACTGGCAAAGTAACTTCTGTGGCAGGAAGACGCGTCGTAAATTTCCAGATAGCCAGCGAAATAAGTCAAAGTTTTGTTCCATCATGTAAGTATCATTCTTTTTTCTTCTTCATGCAAACAATTGTCTTAAAGTACAGAGATATTCTAATTTCTCTATTTAACATTTTATCTTGCGATGTTTTCTGAAGTTCGTTTCCAGTTTATTTGAGCTTGCAAAGATAGTTTTTGTTATACCGGTTAATCCGTGTGTTGTAAAAGATTGTTTTCTGATAATTGTTTGAAGAGCATTATAAATGGGGAAAAAAGAACTTTCTACACGGAGTCAGGATTCAACCTCGTCCCCAGGGCTTTCCCGCCCCTGTCATTTTCTAAGAAGAATGTCCTGGGGACGAGGCTAGGAGTGATAGTGGTCGAGGTGTCGTTCATGTGTATGAAAAGTATTTCATTCTTGCAATGAAAATAACTTTTTGAACTTAAACAGTGTTTAAAACATGTCTCTGGGTTTTGTAAAATTAGTGATACTTAAAAGTACCTTTGTGTTCAGTTCAACTTTATATAGCCGATTTGCTCCTCCTGTCGCAAGAAACTTGAAAAAACTTGACGCCGAAGGGTCGAGAAGAGCACGATTGAACAGTCTGCGACCATGTCCACACATTTGCCGGAGAGGTTTATTGGACAAGAGTTCTCTGTTTTTCTTGTTTGATAACGTTTTCATTAAGTCTTCAAAAATGCCTCCAGATTGCTGTTGTTTTTTGTATTTATACCATCTTGAACAATGTGCTTCATCTCATCTCTCCATTTTTAACCTACTTTACCATCCACCCTCTCTCCCCACTGTTCCACCTCTACTTTAATAAGCATTTGTATTTAAGGGGGTGAAATTTCTCCCGTGTATATTAATTTCTGAAAAAATAAGTCCTTCTACTTTTTCCTTAAATTCTTAAACTTAGTTCTTTTTTTTTTTAGAACCACCAAAGATGCTACTAAGGCTGCAATAAGCGCACTCGCCCTTTTATATTCTTCATCTAGTGAAATGCCCACCCTTTCATCTACCTGAAGCCTGAAAAAGATACTCCTTTCGGGCGGAACCTCCCCGTATAGGCCATCATAGGGAGTTCTCCCCACACCCGTTCCAATTCCGTGCTCACCTATTGCCAGCCGATGTTGGACTCTAGGCCCGCTTGAGTCAACACGTAAACATAGTCCTAAGTGTATATTAGTTGAACTTGACCATAGAGATCTGTTGCAAGAAGACTAGGAGTTCGAAAGGCAAAAGCTTGTTGCAGAAATCGCTGAAGAATTGAGACCACAACACCCTCAACCAGACGTTTTCAACCTATGTGTATGTCAAAGGAAGAGCAACCTCGTCAGTTCAACGTGGTAATGCTGAAAAAATCTTGTGTCACTTTAAAATACCATTCAAATCCAGGAAAAGAAAAGGAGACCTAATTGACAAACTTTCGTCTTTCATACAAGATTGCACGTGCTTTTCTCCAACAGCTCAGGAGTGAACATATGGATCCTTAATTTAGTTTGATTAACAGCCGGCAAAAACTTTTGGGATTTAACAGGAGAAGGACCGTAAACAATAACTATGCCTTTTTCTGCATGCCATTCCTCATTTTTACTGAAATGTTGTTAATTGGCGATAAACACAATGCTCTGTTAATACCACCCTAATGTTTGTATAGCCTATGGTTAGCAAGGGATCTAGGAAATGTGCATGCTGCTTGAAGGACTTTGCAGGTGTGGTCCTATGGTGTCGCACGGTATTTCTGAAGTTGTTTGCGAGCTATTTCCAAAATTTTAATTGTTGATTCTGTAATTGAAAATATTGTGCTAGCGCTCGTGAATAAGAGTGGCCGTGTCCAAGTGACTACTTTGTAGCTAATTGTCGTGTATTACACCATGGGCTGTCATATTAAACCCTATCCTCACGGTGGCGCCCGGGAATACTGACTCAGTTAAAATTAAACGGTCGTAGAATGAATAAATACAACAGCACGATATTTCCCACCCAGTAAAGAATCGGAATTAACAGTGATTAAATTGTATGATTATCAATAACTATCACTTCAAAAAAAATATAATCAGACTGAAAGAACTGATCGATACACAGCCACTCTCGGGGAATGCGTGACGGGCCACAGCGTAAACATATCTTCTTCTACTACTTCTTCCTCGTGAAACAGACCTAAGGGGATTCTAAGTCATATATCGTTCGTGTTTTTCCGTGGAAAGTTCTAAGAGATATTCTCCCTTAAAAATGTGAAATATAAGCAGTTATGTTTTCTGTCAATTCAATTTGTTGAAACGACGCATCTAAGGCTAATTTGCATACGGAGAATGAAGTCGCGTTCTGATCGTCGACAAGGAAAAAAACCAAGAAAAAGCGATTAAAAAAGTTTTCTCCTCATGGTTTCAAAAGTCCAACATTTAAAGGGTCTAATGACATTTGGTGATAACTAGAAACGTTAAAACTGTGGAAATTAGTCGATAAAATGCGGACCGTTACAACTCCAGCTTTGCTGTCAAAATGGCGAATTTGTAACATTAACGGAACTTTGTACAGCGCGCAGAGAAGAGTGCCCACAAATTTTATTGCATTAAGAAGTAGACTGGTCTTAGTACTTCTGATTTATCACAGACTTGAGTCTGGGTCAGGTGCCACTTTCGCGACATTACCGTTCAGCTCTAGATACGCAAATCACTTTTCCTGCTGAGCAAATTAACGGTCATTTTAAAAAAATCATATCTCAGCCAAATTTCCACAGAATGCAACCATTAAACTTTGACACTGTTAATGAGCGTTAAAACTTTTGTGTGTAAAATAATCAGATTATTCGGCTAGGTAAGGTAGGTTTGACAGAGCCCTAAAGTTTCACCAAAATCGCACCACTTCTGAAGGCAAACGGGCCAGTTTTAGGTGACCGAGAAAATCTTCCTATATTATAGAGAAAAAATTGAGTTGGTCCAAATAAATGTGATATTTCTTCATGGGATAGGATGGTTATCTTCCACTGAAAAAATCAGGGCAATCCGTGATACACCGAAATTTGCCTTATCGGTTCTTACGCGGACAGCCTCTTAAATCGTTTGGCCTTTGTTAGCTTGTGCACAGATCATGCAACACTTCTCCGTCGAAAGCGAAGTTTCTCAAACGCTCTAGATCTAACATTGTGTTATTATTATCACGGTCATGTTTTATGACAGTTTGGAATTATATTCTTAAACAGAGTAGCTTGCCGGTATATTTTTTAAGGTCACAATTGGAAGCTAGCTCAGCTGGGCGACATCCACACCATTCTTCTGCAATAACCCCGACATTCATTTATTTCTGTTGTAAGTGTTTTTATACAGTTTAAAGATAAAAACGTTGTAAATGAAATAATTAAAGAAATGAAAAAATTCAGAAGTGTACTATTATCGCAGTTATAATTTACAAGAAACGTCGTTCTTGTGAGTTTCAAGTTTTTTTGTGATCTCGTCCAGGGATATCGTGTCCTACACTCTAAAATGTACCAGCAGCGGGCAATTTTGCTGCAGTTTTTTCTGTCTCTTACATTTTTTACCGTGTTCTCTACACAACGCCCAGTTCTTGTGCCGGTCAATGTTTTGGGGGTGTAATTCCTTCAGGGGTCGATTTTATTAGACACATAATTTTCTTTCGAAATACCGTAGACTCGTGCACCCTATCATGACAATCATGGACAAACGTCCTTGGGACAGTCAGAACGTAACTTCAATTCTATGCGTTTCACAAGTTCTGTCGCAAAAAGCAGTGCTGTCTTTTTACAAATCCATGTCTCCTCTCCCCTCCCCACCCAAAA